ACCTTAATGATTCTGTGATTCTGTAATCTCAAATAGCACATCTGACAAGAGCCAAATGAATCACTGCAACAATGCCACGATGTCACAGAAATTACTTCTGTACACTGATTTACAAACCAGGAGTTGTTATTCCCAGTGAAAATCGTACAGGTTTTTTTGAACTTCAGGAGGCTGCTAATGCTTCTGGTTTACCCTAGGCTTCCCTTCAAAGGAGGCCAAGTCCTGTAGGCAACAGAGACATCTACTGGCAAGCCATCCACAGTTCTCCTCCGGGAAAAACTGAAATCCAAGCCTTGTGGGAAAATCTGTGCATACTCAGCTCAGGAAAAGACAGGACTGCAGGCAATTAGCATCCAAATGATTTATTCCCTGCCAGATTTCCAGGAGTTCATAGGTATATAAACACAGAATAAATAGCATAGGACCAATTAACTGAAGAAACCAATTCCAGAAAGTACAAAGGATGATGTGGGAGGTGTGAGGGGAAGTGACAGCTAAAAACAAACGAGTGCCTCTTCTGCCCCCCAGGAATCGGAGCTCTATTCATTGTTTCCACTGATATTTTGAAAGTGATTATCTACATTCTGCTCTGGATTTGCCAAAAATACCCAGAATGAAGCAATTAGCAGCAAGCAAATAATTCATAATTTCCTCACCGGAGAGTTAGGCATGAATTAATACAGAACCTTCTTAGCAGTGGGCAATTGTGCAACTCTTCAAAGCGAAAATCACAGAGGATGACAAGGGAAGAACTAATGTTCTTTTTAATGTGTTAAATTATTCAGCTATCATTCTGATGCCTCCTGCTTACCTGAGTAGTGATGATGCAGGTCTTGAGATGTTTTCAAGCAGGCAGAGATATCTGAAATAACGTTTAAAGGATCATTACGCGTATTGTAGCAGAGATAAATGCATGATTTTTTAATTCCTTCCATCCCAGAGTTTGTCATGAAACAGATTAATCAGAATTACTGTCTCAGCATTCTAAAGAGGAGAATTACTAATAGGTTTTAACTACGTTATAAGGTACTATACTGGCAGATTTCAGTCATCAATGTAACATAGTCAGATGACTTATTTATTCAGGGAAATGGTGGGAAACTTGTGATATTAACTTCAAGGACATGTAGCCTCTCTAAACCAATTACACCTCCGGGATTTTAAAAGCACTTTGCTGTCCATCATGCTTCACAGCCTCCCAAAGGCATGATTCTTCCAACTCCATCCTCAGTCATTAAGCATTCCATTAACTGTACTATTACACTAAAGTTAAAACAATACTGTCCCGTTAACCCACATCTAAAATGCTGTTAAAATATAAACTGACAAACAGTTTCTGTGTTTACATATTTAACAGGCACAGAGAGATGAAATTTGGTCCAAAAATCTTTTTTTTAATAAAAATGATATTAATGAGCATGTTTTCATGAATTAGATGAAATCACTTTGTTCTGGTGCAAAACAATCCTTCAAAATGCCAGATTTCAGAAAATAAGTATACTGTACTACTTTTAATTCTGAAAAATAAGATACTCAAACTTGAATCTTTGTCAAAATATTTGAACATTATACTTTTCTTCTTGGTGTATTTTATTTGCTCTTATTCCTTTTTCTAGCAAAAGATATCTTAAATAAAAAACATAAATAGATGCTGGGGGAAGGGCCAGCACTTCCACTGAGTGGCCTTGGAGATTCAAGGAGCTTTTTGCTCTCTTTCTCGCTAGACCCAACTAGTTTTGTCGCATTTTGGATGTTGTAAAACAACAGACAGGAGTGGGGGCTAAGTCGTTCCTTTTGAGGATGGGAAAACTGGATTTTAATCAAAGCAATGGTGCACTCTAGAGCGTAGCCCCACGGCTGACTACACTTGCAGCAGTCTGCTTCAGCACTTGCAGGGTTTTCTGCACAGCCGGACCCAGAAAGAGCAGCACTTAAAGGGGAGATAAGTCTAAGAGCAACTCATTTCTGCGTCACAGCTAGCCTCAAAAAGAGATAGATACCTAGCTGCTCAGCCTCTTACAGCCAAGTGGCACATCAGAAAAGCGGGAAGACAGACTAAAAGGCAACAAATACAAGTGAAGTTAACTATCACTCTATTTTGTGGAACAAAGTCATTCCTCACTATAAGCTAGACTTTCTTCATTGGCCATTTCATAATGAATTCAGTCCTTCACCGATTTCGTAATGTCAGGGAAACCACACACACAGAGGAATTACACCAAACTACAACTTGAAAAATCAAGAGTACATTAAAAATTTTGTATCACAATCTATCCTCAGGTATACACCCTGCCTTGACTCAGGAGATTTCTTAGACTGCCAGAGATGAAAGCAGCACTATCATCTTAAACAGTTTCTTCCTGCTCAAAAGAACAACATTATTGGGCAGGCTAGAGTAAAAATAGATCTTTTTTCTTTTAAGATTTGGAAGTTATCATGAGAAAAACATGTCCTCATTAAAAAAATCTTTCACTTTAAAGTATGAATTAGAAACTAACATATGAAGCAACAGTTGAACATTTTCCTATAACACTCCAACTATAGCAAATTAACTTCCTTTTGGATTTCATACTTCAGAATTGTCAGAGTGAGATTTGCAGAGAGGAATTAAAATGAGCGACAAGCAACCAGAAACTTACTGTCCGTTTCCTCTGAAGTTCTCAACCTGTTTAAAAGCAAACATTTGATATTTTACTCCAAAATTTCTGTCATTAAGCTAACACTGGTACATATAAAGTGATGCCATCTATGTGAAGGCAAAATTCACAAAGGTTTTATCAGCAATCATAAAACAAAATAACCCTCGGTGCAACTTTATTCATCGCAACAACCAGCAAATAATCTTCAGTTACTGAAGCATAGCCACGTTTTTCTGCATGTTTCTTTTTCTGCTTTATGTTGAGCTGCTCTTACGGTTCTGCACCACTGTTCGTATCGTTTACACTGCAATAACAGTATCAGTTAAAGACCACTTCAATCACATACACGATTGTTCATTTTTCAATCAATGCTGAGATGTATTCAGAGCTACAGACGTCATTACCATTGCTTGCACAAAAACAGACTTTTCAAACCAATGGTGGTTTGGATTAGCAAGCCTGCAGAGAGACTACAGCATCAGCATTAACGTTAAAGCAGTCTTTGTTACAGAAGACAGCGGATATGATTCACCTCACAGACCACAGAGATCCTACAGAAGACAACAGACTAAGTGACAGAATCAGGCCATTCAACGGCCTGTAAATCCTCCCGGTAAGTGTGTAGTTTGCCTACTGCCTATAAATGATTGGTTAAAAAGAAAGCCAAAACAAAAAAACCAAAACAAAACAAAAAACCCACAAAAAACCCCAACCACAGGATGGGTAAAAAACACAGTATCTTTTTTCCTCTTGCCATGGTGATATCACAGAGGATATGACAGCTTTCTAGTGTCTTTTATTTATTACATCCACAGTATTACTAAGTAAAAGAGATATAAAAGAAATTGATGAAAATAAGAACGAAAAGAGAGACAGCACTGCATATGGAAAAAATACCCCCAATATTAAAATAATGATCAATAAGCTCGGAGTGGGGGGGAACCACAATAAAATTGAAAACACTTTTGAAATAAGCATACTTTCACTAAATACAGTCAAAGCTTAATAACTACTGAAAACCCATTAAGAAAACAAAGCTAAATATTTTGTAAATGTGCAGACCCAGTATGAAAGAGATTAATCAGAGAATGAGAGAAGCTTTCAGGAGCTGCTGGCATTTTAATTATTAAAAAAGGAAACATGCAATTTGCACAGCAAAAGCAAATTCAACTTCTCATGCTCACTAGATTGGAATAATGGCTAGTTAAAAATGCTATGGTGATCTTAGTGATTGAATTAGAAAATTGGATTATTGTTGGAATAAAAAGAGGTGTCTATTCCACCTAAAATTATACACTTTGTTTAAATAGATCTCTTTTATCTCTATTAATTAGGCTTCATATAAAGAAACTTAAACGGACTGAATTGCCTTAACTCTTCATTTCACATAAATTTTTCATTCTAAGTGTACTGCAGAACTCAAGCGGAAACCTGCAGGAAGTATAGAAGTCTCTTTCTAAAAGCATCTGATGAATACCCTAAGATACCAATAATACATACAAGGAGTTTCTGTTCAGATTACTTTTCTTGGTGGCTCCAGATATGCTATTACTCAAATCCTGTAAAAAAGAGAGATGCTTTTATTGGTAAAATCTGCAATCACCGTCATATACAAACTGCACAACTCAAAAAGGTATCTTCTCAAAAACACTTATTGTTATGCTTATTGTCAGCATGAAAAATGACACTGACAGGCAGGTGAATCACAGCATTGCCGTACCTATACTAGAACAGAACTAGTTTTCTCACATTACAGTTTTCCATGTTGCCTCCATACATTTGAATAAAATACCCAGTTACCCACCTGTATCTCAATACACTCACCAAAGCATGTTAAAGGTCCTCTAACACCAACAGTATTTGAGAACTCTCTTTATATTGGAAAATTCCAATTTAGGGATAGGCTTTACAGCTGTTGAAAATGAAATGCACCCTAAACCTCAATAACAAAAAAAGTAACAGACTGAACCAGTGATATTTAGATCACATATTTTTGAGGTCTTATAGTTAAAGTAGTACTCAAATTATCTTCTAACTTCCAGTCATATTAGGGAAAATTGTGCCAGCCAGGTCCTCCTAATGTGCTAGGCAGAAACAGGATTATTCTTCTGAATAGCAGTGAGGAAGATTTCAATCCTCAAAAGAAACAGAGCCCCCAAAAAAGTTCAAAGATAACACAGTTTAAAGACAAATTAACTGAAATTCAGCTTTGAATATTATCTGAAACTTAACTTGCAGTTTTTCCGAGAACTTTAAAAATCCCACCCTTGATTTTTACCCAAGATATCTTAGTATGAGTTTTGAAGCACCAGGTTACTTGGTCCTTTCACACAGTTTCTCTGACTGTACCTTACTTTGCTTGTCTGACCCTGTGTTTCACATGTCAAAGATTTATTGATTTGGACTCCAAGCTCAGGTTTTACAGAATACAAAATCAGTAAATTTATTTCTATTTCTCTCTCCACTCTTTCATACAAAAACCTGCCACTTTTTAAATTTAGCTCTCTTCCCTAGTATTTAGGATTCAAATTCTGCAGCACTCAGAACAGCAGATCTGAAACTATCTATCTGGTTTATTTTTATTCTGCTAAAGAAAAAAGCAGCTCATAGCATTTACAGTGAAAAATAAGCGAGGCTTTTAAAGATCACCATTTTAATAATCAAGAGTGCTATAAGTAAAACAGGCAAGGAAGAGTGCTGTTCAACAAGGAAGAGGAAAAAATTATTTCACGGTTCCTTTTCTTAATTTATTCTTTGTTAATTTCCTTTCATACCTCTGAGATACCTCTACGCAATGTAGTGAAAGATACATTTTCTTCCATTAGTTACACCGTTTAAAAACAGATAGAAGTTTCTATAATGCAGTTTCCTGCCCCCAGTCTTCAAGAAATATAAATTGGTCTAGCTCCATCAAAGTCAATGAGCCCATGTTGATTTACATAGGCAGAGGACCTTTACATTATGGACCTGAAAATTAATTCTGGTAAGTAGTAAGATATGGTGTTTATAAACCAATGGGTAAGAAATCTAAGCTTTGCAATTATTATCAATATTTACCTGCCACTTTGCAAGAAGTAACTATCTCTGTGTCATAGATTAAGAGCTATGTAGCTAACTTTCCAAAATTTGCATCACTCTGCTAACCAATTCTGCTCACAGGTTCAAGACCAAGCTGCATGCTCACTCATTGCCTAATGAAATATCAACACACATGTCATTTCTGACCAACTTATTCATACTCAGAACCACTCAGTGATTCAATAATTTAATATTCTACTTCAATAATCTTAATAGAGTGTTAACATTTGTTAAATTATTCATTTACTCACACACATGCGCTGTGCCAGCAGACAACAAAATTCCTAATCTCTGAGGAGGTATTTCATGACAAAGAAACTACAGTGGCAAGTCCAGGGATGTCAGCAGAGCTACTCTGGGCTCATCCCAGCCAAAACTATGGACTAGGATGTGTCATCTTAGGTCTTACCTCTTGAGAATGCCTCAGGTAATCACAGAATGGTATGGTATGCCTACTGGTGTCTTGATTTTCCATTTTCTTGTGCATGTAACTGAGTCGTTCCAAACCTAGCCAGAAGAGCAGGTGTCAGCTATTTCCAGAGTGTAACATCTCTACTGCTACAAACTAAACACCTACACATTGCTATAAAATAAACACCTATATACCATATTGCCCCCACAAACACCTAATGGGCTACAAAAGCAGCAACAGAATTTCATAGGGTTAAAACACAGTGTTTCCATTCTCTGTCAGCAGATTTTGGAGGAGCATAGCCCTTCTCAGACCATGCTGTGCTGAGTCACAGCATGCCCTGGTGCTTCTCCCAGCAGCTGGCAGGATAAAGCCAGTGACCCACATCACATCAAAGCTGGAAGATAAGACGAACGATGTAAAGGATTTCTGAGAATGAAAGAGCTGGAGAATTACTAAAAGAAGAGTAAGAATACCATTCCTTTTTCTTTCCAACAGAGACAGATACAGAACTCCTTTCTTCCCTTTGGAGAATGTGTTTCCGAGCAATCAGTAATGAATAATGCATGTCGAGGATCTGCCAGCAGATACAGTATTGCAGCACTGCCTGTGAGTGTAAATGTCTTGAGAAATTCACAAGAGAGTTTATTTTTGCCATTAGCCAGGATGCCATTTTAGAAGACACCTCAGGAGAGGAGACAAGAATACGATCCTCCTTGCTTCCTAGTTATTCCTGAGGATTAGTACTCTACTACCCCCCGAGCAAGACAGGCAGCACTCCCGGAAAGATCTAACTGACCTTCCATCCAACCTATGACCCTTTTGCCTGTGCAATGACACAGCCAATAACCAAGTCATGTGTGGTGATAATGATTATATTAGACAACCTAATTCTAATTCTGTAAAAATTATGCCATGAAGTGAAAGTGGTGGATGACACTTTGAATTTGTGAATTTTTATTTACTGCGTCTTTTTAAAAGCTGTTCAGAATTTCACCATCTGCAAAATATCATACTTAGCTGACTGAAATTAGACACCGTGAGCCAGTTCTTGCTGTGTTTCTCTTGCTCATTGCAGACGTTGATCTCTGCGGGCTCTGAGCTCACTTGGGCATTCTGGGGACAATCATCCACTCTAATCACCTGGCAAGACAGAGACAAAACAACACTCAATTTATAGGATGACTAGTGCCTCTGCAGTTCCTCCAACAGTCTGTGATGTGGCCTTTCAGAGCATCACTGAAATGCCAACGACTGAACTTGCTCCCAACTGAGAAACAGATTTTCCCATTTCTTTTACAAGTTGCAGAAGACACATTGCTTTTCTCTAGTAAATACTACTGATGAAAGATCTAGCACTACAGCTTTTAAAACAAAGTTCAAAGTTCCTCAGAATATCTTCAGAGGCAGTATGTCTCAATATGCAAGATCTGTTGTTGACCTGAGCATCTTATGTAAACAAATCAGTCTTCAGCTGTCATCTTATTAAACAGAAGTAACGCTTCCCAGCTGACAAAAGCTCCTGGGAATCTCTTTATAACTATATAAATTCTTTCTATATATGTATACATACATATAGTTATAAAAGTTGCCCCATACGTATGACATAATCAATATGCTGTCTGCAATGTGCTAAATGCTTGATGGATTCAGAGAAAACACTGCAGGACTCTCGTAGGCAGGAGACAACATTACAAAACCTGCCTTGCTTGTCTACAGTTGCACACCACCTGGGTACTGCTCACCACTCCTTCAGTCTATCCTAGACCATATGAAGCGTCCCCAAGTCCTCCTACCAGCTAAAGTACAAGGACCAATTCTTTTCTGTGTAAAATCAATAACATCCCTGGTCATGTTACCCAGCAAAATCCATTGACTTCAACACACTCAAAACTGAAATCCCACACATTCAAACAAAAGGGAAATTAAACCCCAGCCAGACACACAAAAAAAGACACCCTATTTGTGTGCAGAATTTTAAATGTATACATTTGCAACTAATCCACACTGCAGAACTGCTCTTGAAGAATGAAAAAGACAGCTATGGGATATGTGACTCTCTTGCATCTACACATACCGGCACCTGAAGGCATTTTTGATTATTCTTTCCTCTCCCAGACTTTCTGTCTCTGTTTTGTTGTTTTGCTTTTGTTGCCTCACTGTGGTGTAGCTCACTGGATCGTAAAGGCTCTGTGTGAAAGAGTCAAAAAACACCATTAAGCTACAGAGCTTTTGTTTACTAAGAGAAGATTTGATAAGAGTAGAGAGTTGGCAGATCTCCAAAGCAAGCTGAGAAAGACTTGTGACACCCAAAGCTAATACTCATGCAGTTCAGTGCAAAGATGTGCACCATCACCAGATATAAAACAACAAGTGTCATCCATCACCTCATACCATTCATACTTGGAACTGGAATCTGCTAAATTTTAGCTGTTGGTAAGCAAATTTGGTGGTGGACAGGGAGGATTTTAAATTGGCTACAAAAATGTGTATCTCTTCACTCTCCGTGCATCCATCTGACTTATGATACTGCTAATGCGTCTCTTAGGGATCGTGTAATTTATTTTGGCTCCTGCAACTCTTGCATTTTATCCCCAGGGCAGGAGACTTCCCCGGAGCGAGCACAGTCCCTCTGCCATCCTGGCTGTGAAGCCACAGCCATAGGGATCCCATGAAATGGGGAGAATCAGGGTGACTGACACACATAGAAATTCCCTACAGCAGTCAGACCCACCTCAAAGAAAGTGAAGGAGTAACTCTGGACTCTCTGCTACTACCCTCAACTGCAGCTAATACCTCCTGAATGCAAAGGAAACACTTTAATAATGTCTTGGGCTCCTCAGTAAAAGATACTGTACAGGTGTAGTGTTTTATAATTACCACCTATGGCCTTGCAGGTTTCCCCTCTTTTCTCTTTCTTCGGGGACTGTAAGCTGTTCCTCCTGCAGAAACTCCAGTCCCTCCAGAGTGGGCTGATCCAGAAGGAGGTGCTGCGTTTTAACTTGTTCTGAGAGATGCTGCTGCTGTGACATCTGTCAGAGTTGTACGAGAAGGATTTTGATTCTCTTATCTGGACATGCCTGGGAGGACTACCAGTGCAATTGCAGTCACTGTTATAGGTGGAATGTATGCACAGGGCCTTCTTTTGTTTCTTCTCTGAGCTGAAAACCCCTTTTTCATCACCTTCAGAGAATCCCCAGTTCACATAACCACCTTCAGTTTCTTCCCTGTCATTGCAGGAAGGTGCTGCACTCTCTTCAATATCCAGCGATGGCTGGAGACCAAGAGGATGATCAGCCTCTACGGCATTAGTCTTTTCTGATGGCAAATGAATAACAAAGTCTCTCTGGCTCCATTGATAATCTTCTGGCCCTTTTCCAATGAGGCTGACACTTTGCAAGTTTTGCTGCACCACGATGCTACTTTGCAGTTCATCTCTGAATGCATCATCTCTGTACTTGGCAGGAGTGCTCAGAAAGGACAAATTTAAGGTGACATCCTCCGAGAAAGACCCTCCCTGATGGTCAGGGGGCACCAGCAAAAATTGTCCATACCTAGGGGTTGACTTAGTCTCAGAGGATACTCCTGAAGTGAGTGTGTCACTTTCTATCTCTATCTTTCGAGAGCTGTCTTCTACTACCTTGTTACTCTTAGTCCTCAATACGTGGTCTTTGCACTCCGATGGCCACTGACTCTTCACCAAGCTCCGTAAGAGGGAGGGTGGCATGCTGTAGTAGTGGTACTTCTTGTCATACAAACACTCTAGGCTGCTCAAGGTCTTGGAATAGAGCACATTGCTCCAGCTATGGGGCAGCTTCCTACAGGTTCGGTATTTTGTGTCAGCCAGTAAGGCTTCTTCCACCTGCAAGGTGTCTACAGCTGAAAGCACTTTCAGGATGTCTACTGTCAAGGCAGACAGGTCTTGCAAATGTCCTAGCTGGCTGTCCAGGGAAAGTAAAGACTCCTTGATATAAAAAACCTTCTCGTGAACTTCTTTAAGCTGCAGAAACATCTCCTCCACTCTAGGTGGAAAAAGAAAAGATAATTAAAATACCAAAACACAGATCTTCTGCTTGCCAGATGATGAAGGAAGCCATTAACACATTTCAAAGAGTCAGTCTTTTAAACAGCCCTTTTTTTTTTTTTAAGAGCAACTTCCATTCCCATGAATACCTAGATTTGACAAAACCCATCCAGATTTAGCACATGTCATTCAGATTACTGGGCCAACACCCAGTGACTTTTAAGGAAACAGGCTTTTTGCTCAAGAAGTATGTATTTTTAAAACTGCTATTTTCCTACTAATGTCTACTCCTTGCCATAGAACTACTAAACCACAGACAGCAGGACACAGCTTTGGAAATGCTGCATTGGCTATTGCGTAAATGTAAAATGCTATAAAGTATGCTTCTTGTCAGCCAGTCATCCTGCATTTCTACATTTCTTGTGCAAGCATGAGAACGACAAGGCTCACACAAACCTACAGATACTCCTGCATTTCCCAAATACTGGAGACTGGGAAAGGGGTCTCCCCAACAACCTATTTGGTCTCTGTATGCCTGATGCCATCAGTTATCTTCAGGTAAAATTCAACTGCCCAAAAAGCAAAGCCTTTTGTTATGGCCTTCAAAACCCCAGTGAACAGTGCAAGAACTTCTTGGCCTGGAATGATATCCTTGTAACCAAATAACTATCTTCACATTTCCTGAAGATACTCTCTCTGGTGCTCCATCACTAAGGTAAACTAAATAAACTAGCTGCAGGCAGTATGCAAATGTGCTCCTTTCCTTTGTCACTGAGTAACTAAAAGATGTAGTATTTTACCAATAGCTGAATAAAATCAAAGACCAGTGTTCCAAAGTATTTTATTAATCTAAATTAATTTCTTTTATTAATGTTATGCAATGCTGTGAAGCATGTTTCATGTTAGCACCAAGAAAAAAAATCCTTCCAGATCTATATTTATCCATTAAATGAAATCTTCTTGCTGTAATCGATTCTGCAGCTTTTGGACATTGCTACTTATTCTAATTCTTTTACAGAGGACATTCATTTTGCTTGTGTGTTTTGTTTTAGTATGCAGAAAATAAGATTATGAACAGGCGAAGATTAAGAGGCTATCTGTCTCTAGGCAAAACAAATTTCTTAGATGAGATCAGTATTGGCATTCAGTAAGACCTTTTATAGTCCTCATTTTCTTTAACTTTTCCCATTAAACTTAATGGCAGCTTTGCCATTGATTTCAATAGAAAGCTAAATTAGGCAATACTGAGAGCTTTGAAACCCTGCTGACAGTTGTGTATTGACGTTTTGCAAAACACGACACTACATGGCAGACAACGCTGCCATCGTCACACAGTTATTTCTGTAAAGAGCAGTTATGGTCAATTACAAAGCAATATTCTCACAGCGTTCCCACACCGCTAAACCTTTAAATAAAAAAACGTGTAGTATGCCATAGTCGGGCGTGTTTTCGTAGTGCTACCTGGTCTGCAAAGGTGAAACTGAGCAACACCTTACTGTACCCTGCTAACCACCCACATACTGCACATACTGGGGATGCAATTCTGCCAGCAAGGCTTCCCAGCGAGGGCTGCCACGCAGTTCGGACAGATACGTTACGATTCCATCAATTTAGCAAGCCTATGCATGTTATTGCTCCTCATGCTCACAGAGGCCATAACCTGTTCCGAGATCATTCGCTTATCGAAGTCCTGATATGACAAATGTACACAAAGAGCACAAATCCACAGCAAAACACACCTTTCTGTTGTCAGACGGATCCTTTCGCTGTCACTGGAACTCAGGCTTTCGTTCTTCTCATGAAAGTATTTTTCCACACATTGCTCCTCGAAGTCATGGAGTTTCTTTAACTCCTCATCACTCAGGTACAGCTCTGAACAGAGGAGGCAGGAGTCGGTATGAAGCACGCTGACAACAGCAATTGTTTACAAGCACCCATGACAAAAAAACCTGCCAGAACACGTTTCCTCCCCCTCCCTTGACAAGAATGAATCAGACCTAACTCCATGAATTCGGAGTGTATGTTATTAGTATAAAAACTCAACAGGCCACATACTTGCAAACATGGTTTTTATCCCTTAGACAGGGAGCAGAACGACACGGACAAAAATTCCACTGTACTCCTTTTTAAAGCCTCAAAAGTACATACCCAAAGCGCTGCTCACAAAGATGTATTTTCTCCCAAACTTTTTCCTGTATTTTGTTACACGTGTGACTCGCAAGACTTAGCTGTAGATATGTAAGACTTACAAAGATTTTGCTGTAATTTGGTCCAGGCATTCATTTAGGACTAGTCACCTATAACAATTACAGTCCTTTCAGGTACTCAAAGCTACAAGCTTTTTTTCACCTAATTGCTCCACATGTTCATATGTATAAAACACCAAGCAAGATCACTGGGCAAAAAAGGACACATTCAAAAGTTCAAAACTCCACAGCTTCGGCTGCTCATGATGCTATTCTTCTAGCACACCAAGACTTCTAAGAGAACAGATCGATAATAAGTCAATATGAAGAAATGCATATGGTGGAAAGCTGCTTCTCTGATCCAAACTCCTATCTTCCAAGCTCCATTTTTCTTTCCTCTTTTACATACCAGAGTCCTGACTGTACTTGCAAGGGGGGTACCTGCGCCAAGCGACGCGGCAGCGTGTGCTACAAGGGTGTAGTACTCGGCTGCAGCTCAGCAGGGAAGCCCCTCGCAGCGTTCTGGGGTCTGTCCCCACCCCGAGTCTGAATAAGACTTGATCACCTCCTAGGCTCTTTTCCCCCTTGGCCCATCTGTGTTCTTGCCTCCAAGATTTTACTCTCTGTATCTTGGTATTTTCGTTGATTTTCCACAGGGTGGCACTGGATCCTTATTGCTAAACTGGTTAGTTTTACCCACACCAAGATTTAAGCAGAAGAAATTTACCAAGCAATGCATAGACATACAGAAAAGGGACACAAAGGGAACGGCAAAAAAGGACTCTTTCTGAGAGAAGGGTAGGCAAGGTATGAGCCCTCTTCTATCCAAGGACTTTTAGATGTGCTAAGCAGTGTTTGTTTCCCTTGTGCCTAATGCACCTTACAAATAAGACACCCTCTATGCTACATCAGTGACTTATACTGTGCATGCTTATAGAATAAGCAGTGGTACTTCAAAGGCAGGCTGATGTACCCAGTCATGATGGAGGAGCGGAGCCTGAGAGCAGTGGTAAAGCAGCTCAGCACTGATCAGTTAAGCCCATTTTTTAACGCTGTAACCACCTCTGAGCATGCCAGATATCTTCTGGGATTCATGTTCCATAGAGAAAATCCTAAGTGAAGCATAACCTAGGCGGGGACTGCTCACGTCTGCTATTAGGCATCAAGGATGTACATTGCATCAGAAAGGATGAGGCTGTATAATACTATGCGCCAATGTTCCACAATGTTATTTTAGAGAAGATTACAGCCACCAGCCTCTCCTCCTCCCCATTACCCTGCCTCATCCCACCAAGCACCAAGCCCCACTATTGAGTATTCATTCCCATCCCAACATCTTGTGGTCCCCTCCTCGCAATGGTTAGGGCTGCTGCTCCTGGCAGAGCTGCAGGAGCTGACGACTGTGGGACGGCGAACTGGCATCGCCTCGAAGAGGCATTAGGAAGGACCCTAGGATGGAGAAGTCCAGGTTGGCAAGGATGAAGTAGGTGGGGTTAAGGTGCAGTGATGAGCCAGTGCACAAGGCGAGGGGTGCAGCAAGGAGGTGGGGGGCCCCTATGCTCTCTCTCTGCATCTGCCATCACTAGATCTCCTCTGGCTTCAGCCTCTGCGGCTACTTTATCTGAGCAATTAAAAAGGAATTGTTGTTCTTTTCAGGACGAATGTACAGAAATTTATACCTCCAGTATTGTTTACTTTCTTTCAAAATAAGGCTATTCTGCCCTACAGAAAAAGCTGCTGTCACTTTATTTCAGCTCAGAGTTGTGAGGTATCTTTACTGATGCACAGTATGTAGTAGAGCAAAAGCCAAATACAAAGCCAAGCATTCCCCTAGTCAATTTTTCCTACAAGACTTCTCAGAGAGGCAGGTTAAATTCAGTTTTGCAAATAAAAACAGCCTGCTACACAGAAAATATCTCTTTTTTTTTTTTTTTTTTTTTTAGGAACTGAGCTGCAAAGTGATGGGAGGCTGGTAAAACATTCTTCATCAGCTATTTCTTTTGGTCTGCAGCTTAGCTCTGCTTACTTAGTCCAACGTCGCCTTCCTCTTGATCCAGCTCATTTGGGGGCCGATGGTGGAAGATGCAGTTTATCAGAAGTCCAATGTGGCTCAGGAGGATGAAAGGTGGAGGCAGCCATGGCTTCTCATGGTAGGTCATAATGTAGCGGTACCGGTTGTACTTCCAGAGCTTGTTCGATATAGATTTCAAATCATAATAAACATTACTGAGAAGAGAGATAGAGGGGGAAGGATGATAAAACACTCCTGTGAGGAATACTGCCAGAACAGCACAAGATGCTTGTCTACAGATCTAATTTGACACTGAAGAAATGTCCCATCCCTCCAGTGAGGTAAATCAGCTTAGCAACTCTCATTTAACAATGCAGCAGCATATGCCTGCAGCTAGTGCACTGAGAATGAGATCTTCAAAGCTGCCTAACGGATTTGGAGGTCCAATTCCCATCCCCATTAATGGCAACTGGGCAAAAAATATCCCTGAAGTGGCTTTGAAATCTCAGCCAGATTATTTAAACTTTAATACATAGCCTAACTGAGAATTCAACATTGTCTACCTCTTTGGACCGGATTAAATGTGGGAGTCGGGCTAAGGGAAGAGTGTTAACGAGGCGGTTCTGCTGCTCTTCAGCACACTCCCCCTGCAGAAAATACTTGCTGCAAGAGGCGGCTACACGAGCGGTTCTTCTGCAGGGTACTCTTTGGAGCCGTGACGTTACTAAAGGTGACTGCTGTTGCACTGAATAATTTCCTGTACCTACTATCATAGACCCCCGTGCAGGAAAGCAACTCTGTGGTTTCTGGCGCTGTAATTTCAGTTGCACCATCATACTACACGCCCAGCATATAATCACAAAAACATCAGCTTTGCTTCCGGTAGCATAATTAAATGTATTACTCATAGTCGTTTTTGGTCCCAATTCTGGAACAATGAAATCACTAGGCAGAAGATTTAACACATCATCACTGCTGAAGGTTTAAATCTAGAAATAATTCAAATTACAATTTCGCAGCTGTGTATTAAAAAAAATTTGATGCCTTGCCACAATTTCAGGAAAGGGATTTCTAATTGGAAGTGGGAATAGAGTAAGTTTTGATCATTCAGTTTTCTTGAATATTAATCACTACATTTCTTCATTTGAATTTTTTTTAACCTACAGCTGACGACTTCTTCCCCTGAAATATTAGAACTCCGGGAAAAAAAAAAATTAACTACTTGGGTTAGACTGCTCTTTACTAATATTTTACAGAACTTGATCCACTGCAAGAGTTTCCCTGTTAAAACATGAAAGGTTAGAATTACTGTAAAGACACTAATTAATTACTATAGAATTACTATAAAGACCCCTCCTTCTCTGGCAGCAGACATTAAAAAGCAGATAGTTAAAAACACTACAGTTAGATTTCAGTCTAGAACATACCAAATTGCAACAAACAACAGGAATTTTCAAATTATTTCCTAAAGGAAGAGCATGTTCCTAAAAAGTCATTATCCTCTTCCCTTGAATACCTTCCCCACTTATCTGCCAATTTAAATCTTGGGCTACCCTATGATGAACATTATACAGGCTCTCAGCACAACAAAGACAACTTTTAGGAACAAAGGACAAATTAATTCAGAGCTGAATTAATGTTCCTTGTCTGCCAACTGGAGTTGTCCACCTTCACAGAGTCAGATTCTGTTCAAATGGCGAAACAGTTTAGGTGTCTGCTCACCATCCCCTTCCTCACACCCTCTTGCTTCGACAGTTCTTTTTTTATTCACCGGACCCCCATGGAAGTTGGGGTAACAATCAACATACCCCTGCTGGGGCTTTTTTGGTGAAAGGCTTTTACCCAACATCTATTAGTTGCTTTTGCAGCAATATACCATGGTACCTACTTAAAGAAAGCAATAAGCAAGTTGACCATGATGATGTACTGCACGAAGAGATAGACAGCTTGGAGGAACGGTGTGAGGAAGGAGCCAGGAGGACAGTCTTCATTGGTTTCGCAGACTGAAAGTGAAGGACATATAGAGCACAGTTAGCACGGAAATCGGAGCAGAGCATTGCAATGGCATGTGCTCCTCATTTGCCCCAGCAAGGAACAGAATATTCTTTGTTACTTTCATGGAGTTACATTACAAACTTTCCAACTAAAAAGTCTACTTCCATGTAAAGGAGATCTGAGACCTCTTCATGATACTACTGCCCCATAGTTTCCATTGCAATTCAGAAGCTGTAGACACCATTTCATACTTACCAGTTCTTACGCCAGTCACCCCAACTTTCTGTTAAGGGGAAAAATGATGCAGCCAAAAGGTATTTGGGAGATGGCACACACTCAAGTAAACTGAAATCCAAATCTTTGATCCTTAAAGCAAAGCTTTCACTGACTCCACTGTGCAAAGGATACAGTGCAAAGGCTGCTTTATTAGTACTGGAGTGTTATTCCTTTAGAGCTTCAATAAGATCACATTAACTCATGCGCAAAAGGATACATGGTTAGTAATACTTGTGAGATGAAGAAAAAAATCATGAAAATATTAATAGCAATCCCTTAATTTCTAAATTGTCAAAATAAATATTTTTCAGTCTTTATAATTTTTATTCAAATTTTAGCCCTTTGAGGAAATTTTAAAACACATTTATAAGGCAGCAGACCTAAACTCAGGACATATTCTGCAGCATAAAGAGTCATTAGAGAAATCATAGCTTTATTTGAGAAGTGTCAAATTTCTAAAGGTTCAGCATTAGGAAGTGATTAAATGGATTAATCTGTGAAACTTAACAGTGTGCTTTCATTAAAACAATTTTGACTTACATAACCAAAACACATAGCCATCATGTGACTGTTTCAGCAATAGTAACAGATGCAACATCTTAAATTATTTTAATGAACCAGGTCTATGCTGAACTATGTCTCATATATATTTATCTATTTGCATATCTGCTTTTCTGTTTTAGGCACTGTTTTACTTATACCCATCACTTATCAGCATGAGAATGCCTTCCATTTGTAATGCTGAAATACTCCTGGAGTGCCTGGTTCTTCTCTCTTACTGGGACCAGGTCAACGCCATAAATCAAGATATAACATTTTTCCTATTTGCATTGATTGGTTCTATTTGTCTTATGTTCAACCGGTTTATCTGTTTAAGAATGACACCTGGTAACTCTTATTATGGTGAAAAATAATTTTTCCTTCTTATTTTTCCTTTTTTGTTTTCTCTTTATTGTTTCTTCCTTTAAGGCAACTTTGTAGTGTTTCCTACAAGAGATCAGCATCTTTGGATTCGCCTAATTGGAAATTTATTTCACTGCCAGATCCCCTGACTATGAACTAGCTTAGTATTAGTTCCTATGTGCTTTTCTCTGAGCTTTGCAATATGCTGAATTTGAAAAGCTAAATTTGAAGGTTTTAAAGCTTCATCTTTATTTTTAATGAAGAAACTAATATTCTCACCTTTATTCATGCAGTACTACTCATTAAGACATATATTTACTGGAATCAAAACTGTTTGAGAAAGAATAGACTCAATATGTAGTCAAAACTCTAGTAGCCCAAAGTGGACATATTCTTCTTACATATTAAATATAAGCTGTTGAGCTGTATTGTGAAAATGACCTACCATCTATTTCTCCAGCATAGACTTCACCAAACATCATCCAGTACGGTTGAAATACAATATCTCGTGCCAGAGTCCAAGAAGGAGGCTCCTCCGGTGAAAGGATTGCCTTTCGTGACACTCCAAAACTCAGCAAGACTATGGCCATCATGACTACAATATAGAACATGTTTGCTGTCTGAAAGACATGTTTGCATGAAAGAATTAGCTGTGTTAATTATATGTAAAGGAGACATACATTTTAGGGAAAAATATCAATCACTCTTTCAATTCCTGCTTTTACAAATCAGAACATAAAAACAGGGCTAATAATCTAATAAGCTGGAGGAAATAAAAGTATTTTATTTATAGAGGTTGAAGTAATCCTGGACCAAAAAGGCTACAAAGTCCTTCTTGCCTCTCAAGTCCCTCTTAAGACCTTAAGCAAGATTTGAAAAATGCAAGGAGCTTATGATGGTGCTTTTCATCAGTGGTATTTCTTCTAAACTGAGAGCAAGGAATAGCAGTGAAAATGATTTCACCTTCTAACACTGAATCGGAATTACTATGCAAGACAGAATATAAAAGTATTAATAAGATAGTTCCCAATAACCGAGGGAAATTACAGTGGGAATCTGCAGATGTCCCTCAAGACTCTTGCAGCAGTTCAGCAGCAGTTCTTATACCAAAAGAGAAAAAAATTAACTTTGATCTCAGAGAAATTTTGCCTGCTAAAATGGATATAATTATTTGAATCAAAATGTAAAATAATAATGAGACAGTTTCCAAGAGCTAGGGGAATTATCTACAGTAGTGAGCCTGTCTGCAAGAGACAGTGATTTTTCTTTCACTTATTATCAAGCTGGATCAGAAACTTGACTCAAATGCAACCCTTCTCTAAGGAACAAAGCAAAAATGGCTTTTGTGAATAAATTCAAATAATGAATAAATTAGGAAAAACTGAAATCTGACTATGGTCAAGTCACAAGCAGAAAAAGATACGGTATTTTCAGGTGATACATTCACTACAAATTATTAGGTGACCTCTCCTTTGACCATCATTCTTTTCTGTCACTTCTGACCTTTATATGTTCCTCAATCGATGACTTAACTACAAAAATATTGCTCCAAAGCATACTACTTACCATTTTCCCAATCATTGTCAGGTATGGGCCAGCATGCTGATTCACAGCAAAAAGATCAAGGAGCCGAGCATACCAGAATATTATATCCAAACAGTAAAGTAGCCTCCCTGCAGTTTGAACAGGGGGGTTGGACCAGCGCAAGCCAAAACCAATCATAAACAGGATGATAGCTATAGAATCAGTAAAATTCCAGTATTCATAAATCCACACCTTCACTTTTTGGCGGAATTTTCCAGGTTCTGAGATAAATACCTGAGTAGAATGCAGAAAAAAAACCCCCAATGAAACTCCATTAAAATCACAGACAAATTCTTTAACCTTTTCTGTCTGAACTGTTTCATGATATTTGGGAATGTAACCTTTTTTTCCTTCTTTTTTTTGCAGGCCTGTGTACTGCATATTGCCATTCACCGCTAATTGCCATTTGTACTTAATCTATAGCGTCGTGTTGCTCAAGTATGACACGCCAAATAGGATAGCACTTCCTACGGAAAAACGGATTCTGACCTGAACCCATTTACTAAAGAGCACGTTCCTCAGCAGAAAAGAGCAGCCAGTATAGAACTGTTATGCACACATATCAATATAAATTAGCAATCATTTTCTAGAGGAATGGTCACAACCTGCAACGGCCCTCCCAAAAGCCCCTAAGTCATGGAAAGTACCAACCTAACCTTGCTGAGGGGGAAATAACTAATGTCTTTTATTTCAGACTGAAAATATAAAGAAAGATCCTTGTATTCCACCAAGGACATGCTAAAAAAAGGAGTGCTGGCAACTAGCAAGGTAAAGAATGAAATGTTCATTCCTTGAACTGTGAGGTGCCCCAAAGGGATTTTAAGCTTCACTGAGCAAATGTGTGAAGTGGAATCTTTGGGAGGCCATAAATAAAACCTTTGCACATTGCAGCACTGAAGCCAATTATGTAGTGCTATGTAAGATCACACTGATAAGTAGCAAGCAAAGGACAGATGTTGAAACGTTACGCCCCTGATCCTGCAAGATTTTACGCATATGAACACATTAACGTAAACAAGTGATCCTACTCAATTCAGCTGGTCAAACTCACAAACTAGTTGCAGGATCAGGGCCTAAGGCTTTAACAATTAGTTGATACAATCTAGACAAATAGAGGTTTGCAGTTACATATAACAAGGCCCTCAGCAGTTAATTAGCCACACGTCTAAGACACAGTGTCCTACAAAGTCTTTGCCAAGCAGACCATAACTAGTATGTGGACAAAGAAAATCAAGTGGAAGACATGAATTTCAAAGTCTCCAATGAATGTTAATGCTAGAAAGAAGAGCTGATGTTTCCACTGTCGGCCATCAACACAATGCAACAGCACAGCAGTGATTTCCAAAGTGCTTGCTATTTCACATTCAATTTTTTGTCAGTTAGACAATCCTTGTGTAGATTTTTTCAGTTTTGTCTCATGCAGCCACAGAACTTTTATGTTTATCCAAGCTTCAATATATTCCCAGCACTTCTGCTGCCCCTTGAAATCGTTCACCTCTCTCATACTGATGTTGCAGTCTTCTGAGTGATCTGTTGTAACAGCATCCTTCACTCAGAACTGTGACTCCTTTTTTGCAGTTTTATTCCTCTAAAAGCATTTCAAATGTCATATAAAAGACAATTCACACTACTATTGTTTACTATATGCCAATTCTACAGTGAAGATACGTCCAGTCAGATACAATAATTTGAGAAATGCATAGCTGCATTCAGCCCCAGCCTCAGGTTTGGAGTACAAGTTGTGTTCAGAAGCTCAGATCTAACAAAATGCAAAAAATTGTAATTAATTTTGATTGGAATATCATTTTTCTGTGCTCAATGAACCAGCATTAAAAGTTGATGGTGTGTTTTTCTCCAGTTTCATTTATAGAGAGTCAGTTAGACTTGATGGAGAGACATAGATTATTGTACACGTAACAGCTATTAATTGATAACAATGTCCACACTCAAAGTAAATATCTAAGACAAAGTCCATATTTGTATAAGAAATCTAATGATCCACTCAAAAAAATTAAGAAACAGGTGCCTACATCAAACTCAGTTCAGCACAATCACTCTCAAATAACCTGCACGTTACCACTGGCTTTACACAGAAAAACAGAGATCTAACGACCAACTAAAGATGCATTTTCAAAACCCAAGTACTGGTCTTCAAATAAAAGACTTCTCAGAAATAAATGCCCTATATAATTCTTCCCTCTGCTAAATTCTCTACAAAAAGAAAGCAGGATTTGGCATTCTTCAGTTTATGTTATTCTTTGGTTTGTAATATATCCTCTATAAATGAGAAGTGTGAATGGAAAAGCTTACCTCCCTGACTTTTTCAATAGCAGTGCTGAAAATATAAATGATAACAAGCCATTCTTGAACGCTTGGTCTTGGTTCCATCTTCACCAACACAGTGTAAGTGAAGAGCATAAGAAATGCCATGTACGCCATCTACAAAATACAGAGTATATAATCCATATACACAAAAATCTCAAAGAAAGTTCTGCAAACATATTAACAGGTGATTAGCCTGACTACATGTATTCAAACTATGGGGCACTGTCAGATTTTTGAGCCCAAATTCTTTTCTCCAGTTCTCCAAAGTATTTTTTGTGGGAATATCCTTACACATAATTTGGAAATTGCTGCTTTAGTGCTCAAGAAACAGGAGCCGAAGATGAACTATTGCAGCACATGTTCACCTAGTCCCCAAGCCCATATATGAGACAGACTATTTTATCTGCACACCGTTACTTGAATATAAAAGCAGTGCTATGCTTTTATCCTAACTTTCTGCGGGAGCAGATAACCATTCTCAAAGCTACGTGAATCACTGCTGGTTAATCAGTGCCTTCCAAAATGCAGGAAGAACAATATCACGTGGAAAGCACATATTTTAAAGGTACCAGAACACACTATAAATGTATCTGAGACAATAGATTAAGAGTCTATAAAGCAGTTAACCACACCCAGTTAAAGGGCTAACAGTTTATGTACTTGGTGGTCTGACCCAACAGACAGCCTGATCTTAAACATTCTAAGCTCTGCTGACGCAAGTTGAGCTACTAAAAATTATTTCATAAATCCACATGTCTCTATAGCAAATGATCTCCTATCGATTAATATTCACTCCTTCACAAACAGTTCCTAAAGAAAGGGACACAAATCCCTCTGACATATTTAAGGTATTTAAGGTCAGCTTCAAATCTATCTCTACATGTACAATTAACTACTGTAAAAAGCTGTGCTTGGGTTTTTCTTTAGTTCCTTATAATTTTTTTCTTTTATTTAATGCAGCTGCATGATTTTAGCAGAAAAACTTTTCACTTAATCATGAAAGAAATATTCAGGTATCTTCCCATCCACACCCACCACTAACTGGCTGCAAACCCATGCTAGGCAAAGTAAAAGCAGCATTAAGTGGTATTTGAAGGATCAAAGGAGGGTTTTGGCAATCTGAGTTCTAGTGTGATGACCAACCGTATGAAACCAGAACTTGACAATTGGTGCGTTGTAGAATTCATAGATTTTCCTAGTGCCAGGCAGGTTTCCTTGTCCACTGTCTAGCTGGCTTTCATCAGGCTTCTGAGCAACCTTCTCCACATCATAATCCTTCTTTAAAAGGAAACAGCATTTTAAAAGTAAGAAACCATGGTCTATGATTGCAAAGATTCTGTCATGTTAAAGGGAAGACAGGCACAGATGTTCACGCTTTGTTCTGAATATACAAACCATTACTGTAGCTTAATTTTGTCTGGTTACAACCATCTTGTTTGAAATAATTAAAATGCACACTCTTCCACTATAAATACTCATTTAGAGTTTGCTCTTATGACTATAAGCAGTGGACTGGGTGTCAGCAGCCCTGACTCCACTCCTGTTTCTGCCACATATTTCTTTCAGTCTCTAAGCAAAATTACTTAATCACTCTATGCCTCACTTTCCCCATCTGTGAAACACAGATAATCAACAACTCCCAATACAACATTAACTGTGTTGTCTAGAACTCCACTGACAACTGTGGCACATTCTGAAATAAGGGAATGAGCATTACATTTCCACTCCTGTATACAGTTGCACAGAAAATGTCAAGACAGTGAAATTCTAAATGCAGAATCTAATTGCTATTTTTGATGTACTGTATTTCTGATTAGAAAATGAGGATGAAATAAGTACTCTCTTACAAGGATCTGCCTACAGAAAATACAGGTAACTTCTTTATTATCTTCAGTAAAATAAAACAAAACAAAACAAAAACAAATGAAAACCACACCAGATGAAAACACAACAACAAAAAAAAATAACACACACAAAAAAAGCAAACACACTTGACTTTATATCTGGAGACTGACACTTGTCCAAGTACCCCTCTGAAAGTCCAAATATCTGATCGCTGCTGAAGCCTAAAAAGCACTGCAGACACACAGCAGTGGGCAACTGGCAAAACCAGAAGGTGCTGAAAGGAGTTTTCAGAGGTAAAGGAAAAAGGCCTTGGGGGAACTGTAAATAGGTAAATAGCTGGGCAAGGCTGAGGGAACCAAACTAACTTCCTTGGTTTTGTTTCAATGCTGGCCAATTGTCTTGGCTAATATCAACGCTAAAACTTACTGCTACTAGATGTCTGCAGTATAGCACTTTTTATGTGACATATTTATCCCTACTATACAACATTTCCTTGAGTTATCAAGGGAAAACTGATTTTTTTCATCACATTAGACTCTGAAATGAGAGAATTTGATACACAGAATCAGACATGTGTTAACATCAGGTCCTCCAAGGTGAAGAACAAAACTTGTGCCATGAAAAGAGTGCAATTTCCAGCTGCAGCAGGTCATGGGAATTTATGACTGTGTTTGAAAGGTGCCCTGTATGGCACACTGTTGAAATTTTCTGTACATTTTTCTACAGTACCTCATACCAGAGTATTTAAGAAAAAGCAGTAGCTTGGCCTTTTGTTTTAAACAACACTGTATATCAGACAAAATCAGAAGTTAAGCTTATTGGTAGCGCAGGACAGAAGCAGCCCTGTCTGAGGCAGGTCAGAAAAGTGCTCACGCACATTGCGGTGTTGCCTTCTACCAGGCTGCAGGAGTGGTCCTGCTGCAAGTTAAGTACAGTTGGCCTGTCCTCTGTACCATAGTTGTTACCTAGACCCATAAAAAGCATTTTTGAACTGGCTATGTTAGACAGGCACTGCAGGAGACAATGGATTCAAGGGTTTTTCTGCATCAGAGAGAGAAAACACACACGTGGCATTGACAGAACCACCATGCTGCAAAAGCCCTCTCGACAATCCACTCTCTTTTATTTTATGCAAATTAAAAGTTAAGTGAGAAGGTCCCAAGCAATCTACAATGCTTATCTGCTGTAAGATAAGCAGAGCAAAGCAAAAAAGATTGCCTGACAGCTCTCGCTTGACAATTCTATTGTCATTGGTTAGCACCTCAATTTACCCTTTTGGATGGAAATTCTCCTTGTCTGCTTCAGAAACTTTCTGTTCAAGTAATGCTTTGTGGAGAAAGAGAAAAAGAAAGGACAGGCAATTCTGCTTAGCAGACACCTGGAGGAATTCAAATTTTAAAAGACAAAGACTTCACCTATGCTGGAGACTCTCCACAGACAGGCCTAAGGACTTTTTGCAACCACAGGTCCCCGCAGAGTGTTTCGGGACTCAGTTCAGGTGACTAAACCAAGAGCACAGTGCTTCTCTTGTGCTTTAAATGGCATCTCTGCTAGGCTCAAGTGATGCAGAAGTAGAGATACCCTGTTTTTCAACAAGGAGGGCAGGAGTTAGACCTTTGGAAAGTCTTTGATGTAACTCAGGAAACAAAATCTCAAGGAGAGACTAAGACCAAAGGATGGCCATGGAAAGGAGGAGAGGCTGCAGCCGAGATGTGGGCAGAGGCTGCTGTCCAGGCAGAGCAGGAGTAAGGAGTGAGTTGGAGAGGATGGGACCTGGACTGCCTCAGTTCTGCTGTTTCCCTGCTTTGGACAGCTCAACTGGGCAACCTGAATTGAGTTTTATGGATGTGATTTTGTGTATGATATGAAATCATTCTTACATTATTTGGTACACAAGATTATATAGGTATTTATCTGCAGCTTGAACAGACTTTTTGCCCTAAAGTACCTGCATAACTGAGAGATAATTATAATCTCATTATACTTCTGTGAGGTTGGGAAGAATTTTCTCATTATGATCAGTACAGAAGTGACACCCAGGACAGATGAAGTGACTTGTCCAATATCACTTCAGTCTGTACCCAAACCAGGGATCAAACCCATACTTCTTGAGAACAGGGCCCCGACACTTCCAGCTGATCACCTTCTCCTCACTCCTCAGGATTATACTGTGGTAAACAGACAGACACTGACAGATAAATGACTAATCATCGCTGACTAACCAGAGACAAGGCATCTTTAGAGCTTGTCGGGCTCTGATCCCCATGATACCACGTGAACTGGTGGAAGTCTTGAGACTGAGGCACATGAGACATTTCTGCCTTGCTTTTAAACTCCAGCATCAAGATGGTGGGGGGCAGGAGAATACTCATAATGACCTAAAAGAGAGACACAAGATTCAGGAAATTAACTCAGCAATCATAGTATAGACCTGAGGCCATAGTCAGCCATGCATGGTGCCAGCACAAACCCAGTGCAATTCCACTGGCCTATGAGGGAGCCACTGGTGCAGAGAACCTCTGTATCATAGTCCTACAGCCTCCGAAGAAATGAGTTGCTCTTGACTGTTTTGTGGCTTTGAAGAGTGTCATGGTATCTGGGGATACTTCAGATATTGCTCCCTATGTCTGGAGGACATTCCTCCCATCAGCAGCTCCTGCTGGAAAACCAGCAAAGTGGGGCAGTCAGAGCAGGTGGGGAGGGACTGAGGGGTGCTGAGAGAATGGGAACAGCAAAAAAAACCCTCACAAAATTGCACTCTCTAATGTCATCCCACAGCTGCTTTTGCAAAGAAGTAAAACAGAAGCAAGTACTGTCTTCCCTCCCTGCCTTTCCCTTCTCCTATTCCAATCCAGGCTTAAGCATGTCGGTCTGAAGGTGCATTAGACACATTCATAACCACAAAGACATGTGTAAAGCATCTAAATGCTCAGAGAAAGCTAGAGTGGTATCACCTTAAACCAGGAGTTCTTCCGCATCTTCAGGCGTCCCATCCACATATCGGTCAGCAGCATCTGTGTGCAAGTATGGGATACGAAAGGCCGCAGCCCCACAGACACTGCTAGTTTTAAGCAAGTTGAGTTGCTCCAGTTTTTCAGTTCATAGGTCAGCAACTTCATGGCCATCTGCTCATTTTGTTTAAATGCTTTCTCCAGCACTTCTAAGGCAAGCTGCCCAAATTCCCTACAGCCGAAAGGAATTAACAGTTAATATAACAGGGATTCGTCAAACTCAGAATCACTGCTGCAAAGATGTTGGTTTGAAACCTCCATTAACTAAAGTTCAGCTAGCAGCCTCAGTAAGTATGCCTTCTCCCATTTTTCCCATTGCTTTTCTCAATATATCTATCTATATATATATAAAAAAATATATCAATATATTATCTAGTGAAAAATAATTTGGGGAGTAAATCTAACTATTTAGTCCTAATCACACGGTTAGGATCATACTGTTTTCTATTTATTTAGTTGGTTCTTAATCTCACTCAGTGATCAAAAGGAACCCTCCGAAGTTCTGTGTATTTCCTTCAACAACAGACTCATCACCACTGTGGCAAGCATTGCGGGCAATTGCAAAAGCCTCTTCTTTTACGCTAGCTCTTAAACAGGGAATATACCTCAAGGAAGACACACCTTCCTTTAAATTAAGCTTTGGAGCTGCATTGCAAAACAAGACAGCACCAGAAACAACTAGCATGAAACTACAAACTTGAAGAAAAATCTTGGTCTACTTAATTTTTTATTCACACAGTTATTTCACCATACATTTTTCTTTAAGTCTTAGAGTAGGATTTAAACACTGATTTTAGTTTGCTCATTACCACGTTATGGATTTGAAAAGCTCAACACATATGTGCCATATGCCTTTTTAACAAGTTGAACTGGAAAGGAAACTGTAAGAGAAATTTCAATCTTCCACTTGACCATTTCAGACAGTGAGCCTCGCATTACTCACCTATATTTTAATTTTCAAATATGCAACTAGATAACATGCTAATAGCTTTACTTTAACCCTTGATCAGACTGCACAGCAATAGATAGCTCCATTATATAATATGAATAGTGGGCAGATGAAAGTATTTCTTTTACACCCTATAGCCCATGGCACCAGAATCCCAGTATCACAGTATCATTAAGGTTGGAAAAGACCTTTAAGATCATCAAGTCCAACCAGCAACCCAACACCACCAAGCCCACTAAACCATGTCCTCAAGTGCCACATGCACATGTTTTTTTAACACTTCCAGTGATGGTCACTCCAGCACCTCCCTGGGCAGCCTGTTCCAATGGTTGACCACTCTCTCAGTAAAGACATTTTTCCTAATATTGAGTCTAAACCTCCCCTGGCGCAACTTGAGGCCATTTCCTCTTGTCCTATCACTAGTTACTTGGGAGAAGAGACCAACACCCACCTCCCCACAACCCCCTTTCAGGCAGTTGTAGAGAGCGATAAGGTCTCCCCTCAGCCTCCTCTTCTCCAGACTAAACAACCCCAGTTCCCTCAGCCGCTCCTCATAAGACTTGTTCTCCAGACCCCTCACCAGCTTCATTGCCCTTCTCTGGACATGCTCCAGCAACTCATTTTCCTTTTTGTAGTGAGGGGCCCAAAACTGAACACAGGATTCGAGGTGCGGCCTCACCAGTGCTGAGTACCGGGGCACAATCACTTCCCTACTCTTGCTGGCCACACTATTTCTGATACAGGCCAGGATACTGTTGGCCTTCTTGGCCACCTGGACACACTGTTGGTTCATGTTCAGCCGGCTGTCAATCAGCACACCACTAACCTTACAAACTCTTAGTGGATTAGGAAATTATCTAACCATTCTAAGCACTGCAGAACTTTATTAACTGAAGTGAAGGGAGAATTCATACTTTGAGTACTTCTTGAGTTCTTCTGAAGTGTCATCCACCATGTTGCTCTGTTTAGCTTCATGTGCCATCGCCCTGTAGAGTTTACAAGCCACAACGGCTTTGACCATGGCTTCCTCTCCATGCTGCCAGAAGAACATTGCCATCTTCTGCCTTTTCATTAATACTGCCCAAACCAGGAGGTCATTATAGGGGTAGATAAAGCCAGATGACTCACAGTTGTCTGCAAAGTTTACATCCTCTTTTGATTTCTTCTTACCCTTATGGAAAGCAGTGGATCTTTCCTAAAAATTCGTTTTTCAAAAAAATAAAATCTCAATCAACATTTGAAGTTCACATTCATGTAAATAAAACTGCACACAAATCTGCATTGCAAGTAGCAAACAATTTCTTCATTATATACATTTAAGTCATAAACCACAGCTAGGATCACACTCAGATTAGCAATGCTAAGAAGCTGGTAACATTAGTGGAGGAAAAACACTCCTTGCTCTGTACCCATGCCATTTATAGCCTCTACTTCCATAGCGTTGGGCAGTCTCCAAACCTCGTGATACCATGATCCTACTTTCACTTGTGTCTTTTACTTACACCATGACAGGAGAAAAAACAATCAGTAGACTGAAACATACACCATGGGCTTGTGATACTTAAAGATTATTTTTACTGTCTGCCATGCTTGTAATGTAAACTTGCTATACGTTCATGTCTGGATATTTCTCCAATAAAGGCAAAGAAAAAGTCCTACTGGTACAAGTGAGGCTGTCTCAGTGCTATAACGGGTTCATTTTCATGCAGAATAATCCCAATAATGCCATTTAAATTCATTCCACTTTATGTTTTGTCTGTCAGATATACATATGTGGCAATCTTTGCCCTTTTATCATTCTTTCTTTGAAAGAAAATACTGTCATAATTTTCCAGATATCTGAAATGTATCCCTTCTTAGCAGTCTCACTGTAGCTACTTTAATAAGCAATCATGAGAAAACATCGTGAAAGTCAAAGAGTTCCTACTGTTGCTTCCAAATAAGAAGAGTTTTCAGCCATGCTTGATATTCAGAAATTTGATGATACTACATTTTAGTGAACAAAAGGCCTTAGCAACAAATGGATGGAAGTTAAAAAGTATCACAGGAGGAGACTGAGCTTGATTTCAACATTAAAGTCGCAAGACCTGTACTTCATGAACAGTAAAATGTTTCTTCCACTGGAATTTAAGTAGAATTATGGTAACAAACAGCCTGACCAACATATGTCTAAAATCTCTCAGTAAAATCATTAGTAGCCTAATACATCCTAAGCAAAGTCTGGAATAAGCAATTGTATTACCTTGTATTTGTAAGGCTGTGCTGTTCTGAAGAACTGAGAATGCAAAGTACTTTCAGCAGATCCCATTCTGCTACTTGTCTGCGTACTCTGATGAAGGGAATGAGATAGGCTCTGAGAAAAGCTGGAGAGCACTCTCTAGATCCAAAGGCATACCATAAAACACAAGGAGAGAAATGCAAATTAGAGATTAAGTTTGCCTGTACTTATCTCTGATTGCAATGGTGCCTGTAGAAACTGATGTTATTCAAAGACTAGCGAGTCAGCAATCACTATAACCACCACTGGAGCTTACACCATCAAAGAAAAAATAGCCTGTGTCACATCTAGTTTAAAAAATATATTATTTTTCTGAATTTCTAAATTCAAAATACTGATTTCCCCAATAGCATCCACCAATTACAACAAGAACAGGGCTTGCACCACATTGGAATCACTCAGCCTGGAAGCTCTTCTCTTATAAAAGCCTACCCTTATAAAAACTGCCATAAGCTCTTTAAAAGACAGAAGTTCTCTGAACTTTTTGCTGACCATTTCCTCCAAACGATGGCATGTCTAGCATCCCTGGGCATTTTGTTCAGTATTGAATAAGAGGGAAGAATACTACCAGCTGAATCACTAATGCTCTTCCCTGCAGTTCCTAGTTAGATGATCATGTGGTTTTACCCATCCCTGTTAAGGTCATATTTAATGAGGATACAGTGAAGAGTGTCACAACTGCTCAATTATATTTTTTTAAGCATTGTATTAAGCCAGTGACACTCAGGAAGCTCTGTCTTTGTGTTTCTGTTCACTCCAAGTAACAGTTTTCATTATTTCTTCTCATTTTCCCTGATGACCCTGAGGTTCTATTAGTAATTAAAGCAGTACATGGGAATGAGAGTTCGGAAGTACTTTAATCAAAGTCAAGTTCTACTCTGAAAACTGAGGAGAATTCCTATGCAGTAAAGCAGCTCCTTCTGTGATGCTGGGAATGATATTCGGCTCATTTATTAAGAAGTTTAGGCTGTTTTCAAGTTACTGGTTTTGGAAAGTCAACAGGGAAAATGAAAGTTCTAATAGGTCTGCACACTGTCGTCCTGAGGCAGTTTGTTGTAGAGGTGATGCTACCGATACACAGAGATGGCACAACGCTGCGCTGTACAGTGAAACGCCTTAAGCGTCTAGAAGGTGCCGAATGGCACGCATACCCAAGCACAACCCTCTGCCTGCACAAAGCCACTGCACCACGGCTGCAGAGTGGCACAACGCAGCATGCGACTACCCCTGTGATGTGCCATGGAAAAAGCTCTGCCAGGCAAACACAGCTCATTGGCCTGGGCAAGAAGATGTACCACTAGCACTGAGCTGCTTCTAAAAGGCAAGACATTTGCTCAACACTTGGGTCAGGGATCTCTATGTTGCTCTTCACTATGCCATGCTGACATGCTCTAAGCCTAGTTCAATGCCTGCTGAGTTCAGTATTTCTGTAATGTGGTTCAAGTTGCGAGAGCAGAAACATGCAGCTGCTTCACAAAAGGGAAAATGGTGCCTGGTACAGCCTTGTAGATCTGTGTTGACGGATGACAGACAAACAACACAACCCAGCTAGCGGGCACAAAGGTAAATTTACTGAACTAATAGTTAATTTAATGATTACCAGTGGTCTTTGGGGCAGGGAATAGTTTGGGGATGGATTTGTCTCTTTTATTTGCAAACTCTTCACAGCTGACAAAGAAATTTATAAAACAGACTCACACGGCATACATTTAACTGATGCTCTTCAGATGAACCACAATGACAACCTGAGCTATTTCCAGGTGTTATATTTTGGCTTTTCTTGGTGACCAGTGGTAGCCATTTCACAAGTTACCTTGTGTTTTCTGTAGAGATCATTGTAGAGAATTCGGAAATGCTTCCTTGTGTAGCTGCTCCGATAAGCTCCACCAAGAAGGTATTCTATCACCAGCCCAATATCAATCAGTGATATCTTGTAATCCAAGGAGAAGGTATTCTGAAACACGAAATGTCACAAGCATTTCATTATGCTATTATATGCAACATTCAACCATGTCAGAGCCCTACTACTATGCGGGGAGCCTGTAAGAAGGTGCAACTGAGAGCTCCTACATCTGTCAGGAACGTGTACACATTCATTAGGCATATGAAACTCCCCCAGGAGGGAGAACACAAGGCCGTATTTTCAGCCTGAAAAGTGTGACACCTACAGTCCACTGCACCCACATCACATAGAGACGTATATTGCAACGATCACAAGACCAGCTGCATTCAACAGTGAGGGTGATGGTTCTTCAGGTTAATCACCACAACCAGAGAGACTGCTAAAAATCTTCTCCTTCTCCTAACAAGAGAAAACTAGCATGGTATGATTTACTCAATAAACTAGTTCATTAATTAAAAATGAAGAATTGCATGAAGCATGTGTTTAATGTCGCAGAGCAATTACTGGAGACTGGCAATCTCTTGTAGAGGCTGAAGACTGTGAAGACAATTAGGACAGCAGCTGGACGTCCATTAGCTGTACTCTAGTATATCACTAGTCTCTTTTTAGTCTCTCACCACTTCTGTTTAAAGCATCACTGCTTTCCAGTTTACCTCCACTGTCCTTCCAAAATGCAAGGTTTGTGACAAATTCTCTGAAACAGACTATCTTCTACACAGATTTTAAAGATTATTCGTAAAATCTTAAATCACAACTCTTGGAAGTGAAAAACACGCCTATACATAGATGGGATCAGAGTCACAGAATCACAAAATCATTAAGGTTGGAAAAGACCTTTAAGATCACCAAGTCCAACCAGCAACCCAACATCACCAAGCCCGCTAAACCATATCCTGAAGTGCCACGTCTACGCATTTTTTGAACACTCCCGGTGATGGTGACTCCACCACCTCCCTGGGCAGCCTGTTCCAATGGTTGACCACTCTCTCAGTAAAGACATTTTTCCTAATATCTAGTCTAAACCTCCCCTGGCGCAAACTGAGGCCATTGCCTCTCATCCCATTGCTAGTTACTTGGGAGAAGAGACCAACACCCATGTTGCCATAACCCGCTTTCAGGTAGTTGTAGAGCGCGATAAGGTCTCCCCTCAGCCTCCTCTTCTCCAGACTGAACAACTCCAGTTCCCTCAGCCGCTCCTCATAACACTTGTGCTCCAGACCCCTCACCAGCTTCGTTGCCCTTCTCTGGACACGCTCCAGCAACTCAGTTTCCTTCTTGTAGTGAGGGGCTCAAAACTGAACACAGGATTCGAGGTGCAGCCTCACCAGTGCCGAGTACAGGGGCACAATCACTTCCCTGCTCCGGCTGGCCACACTGTTTCTGACACAGTCATTATGTATTCCTACCGGTGTATCCCTTTCAGGCTGTAAAAAGTTATTTTCTTCATTACATCGAGTTTTTTTTAAATAGACTTTAGTGGCAAGACTCAATACAGCCAGCTAAGGCCACCCAGCCCTGGGTAACAGAAGGTACCAACATGCTGAGCACTCTGGGGCAACAGCACATCTCACAGGGTAGACTTTGCCAGCTCTGTCGTTGAGGGTTAGGCAAGTATTTCTGACTATCTATACTTGTAGATACTCCTCTGCACTAAAAGCATATTTTATGCTATCAGGGCAGACTGCAATGTATCACCATTCAAATCTACCAGCAGCAAAGCTGGTCACACTAATGGAGAAAATATTCTGAAATCCACGGTCACATCTCTCTGGTGACTGTCCTAGCTACTGTGTTACCATATTTAATAGGACTGCAACTGCACAACCCATTCATGGAGCACTTAGGCATACGTACAGAAGCTCAGGCTTTTCAGCATTTAGACTTGTTTGCAGGTCTCAAGTAAGTTTAGTTTCCCCAACAGTGTAGAGAGTTTTGAAATTTTCTACCTAAATTCCACTATTTCATTTCAAGTGCCAAAAGCTTCCCTCTAGATCACATCCTGAGTTTTCACAGTGTCCTGAGATGTAACCAGGTCATGGGTTTTAGAAAAGTGGTCATATCAAGGAGCAAATCACTTCAGTATCAGTGAGAAAGGCAGACTTCTCAGCCTGGAAAAGTTCAGTGTATTTTCAACAGTGAGATCTTCCAGCTCTATCACAGAAATTAGGCCTCAAATATGTACATCGGTATGGGAAAACACAGAAAATAGCTTGCTATGGAGACCAGAATGCCCAGCACCCATCTACAGAACCATCAGTGGGACTGACATGAAAGTCACCCACAGTAAGAAAATCTTACCAGAAATCCCACTACTTGAGACCACAGAACTCTGCAAACTGTCAGACTTACCATTTTATTTTATCCTAGCACTCATACCCTGGAAACAATTAGCCAATTAATCTACTTTTGGATCTAGGCATCTCCTGCAGTGGAGACTAGATGCAGGAAGAACAGCTCGTCCCTTTCTGGCTAAGCAGTGCTATGAGGTAGAATAGATAGCAGAAGCACGAAATACATTAACTGTGTAGCTAAATAACGAGGGTGCCACTAGCCTACAAACCGAGCCAGTGCTCCGTGCAGTAGTCATCCACTGCCACCTTCTGTTCTCCTAGGCAATGCAGCCCACCAAAATAATACTCTATCTTGTCGCAGTATCTTTTTGTTACTGCTCAACAAGGAAAGCCTTTTTTAGCTTTGGGGAAAAAAAGCAAACCTTAAAGCAATGAGCATAATTACTGCACTAATTCACCAAGCCTTTTGCATAATCACTTCATAATGTCACTTTAGTAACTTGAGAAAGAGAGTCTGATCTACACGAACTGCTTGCCTTTGAAATTAAGGTACAGGACCCTCAGGAGCATTCAGGAGTAGTATGCTAGTTAATTGCTTAGGGGTATCAGTGGGATGAAGATAAAACCATTTAGTAGGTATAGCACCATAGCAATGAACTCATCCATTCTATTCCTAAAATTCCCCTGTATTACCTAGTAGCAGTGTGCCAGTGGACACTGAAGTTCTAAGCTACCACTTTTGTTCCCCAGCCTTTCCTGGGGAGCAAAATATGTCTATTACCTGTTTCACATCTCGAACTAGGTGATGCAAAAGTAGATTTGATGGTCCTTGTTTCTGTGGTGTGAAAAGACAAGACAGTAAACATAGATGTCACTCTACATTAGAAAATCAATACAGTAAAAGAAAGCAGCTAAAAGATCTTCAGGATAAGCTACTGTGATTCAAACTCTTCCCACAAACCTCCTCAAAACCATTTTACCACCAATCTGCAACACCTCTACTATCTTAAGTGTTGACATATTCAAGAAAGAAGTTATTATCACTTTGGTTAAACAACATATCATTTTCAGCAAGATACGTACAACATACCAGATTAAAATCAGAACATATTTCTCGGGAGCTTCAGGCGAGTACTCACTCATGTCAATGAACGGAAAATAATAAGCTGGGACACCAATCCAAAAACCCAACATTATAATAAATAATGATCAAAACCTGTTAATCTTCAATTTTTTTCAAAAACTCTTTATAAAAACATGGACTAGTTATCCAATCTCTTAAGCAAAACAGTGTTCTTTCTAGGCATTCTTATGTAAAGTTGTACACTGGGATTTCAAATACTCACTGTATTGTAGAGTTCTTCCAAACGAGGTATGGTGAGAAAACGGTGCATGTTCACTCCGTGCTCTATTAACAGCTTCACAAAATCCACACGGTCCATCACTAAAGCATCCAGCATTGCCTGTTCCAATGCACCAACCTCCAGAGGGACAGAGATGAAGTAAAAGCTTAGAAAATTATTATCTTCTTTTGGAAATAAATAAAACGTTCCTGAACAACTAGGGATCTCTTGATTGCAATGATCTGCCTTTAAGTGTTTTTAAACTGCACACTACAAAAGAAAAATATGCTGGAGGAAGCATCTGTATTAAAAACCCAACAGAGAAGAGAAGTAAAACTGAGTCTCCATAAACTCAACATCTGTAGAGACTTCTACAAATCTAACTTTACAACCAGACTCTGATGATACATTCCCTACTCTTTAATTCCTTTCAGAAGCTGATGTATGGTAATGCAGGGGGCAGAGGGAAGCCTTTTTTTTTTTTTGACATATGACAAAAGCCATTTCAAGGCACTGTATTTCAAGATCTCACTATAGAACTTGAGGTTCTTTAAAGCAGACATCTTTTCAAATATGAGAGAGAATCTGCACTAGGATAAACTCTCTCAAAGACACCATGAAGCAGAGCTCTACCTACAATAGCATCCAAATGGTGAAAGCACTCTACTCATGGCACTTGCACAGAGCTCAGCAGGATTTCTACATGCTAAATAGCACAGGAGTTGGACATATGAGGTTAATATAAATCCATATAAAGAATTTCTACCAAACACATAGGCACAGAAAATGCAGTAGTGTGAGGAGAATGAAGATGCTGGCACACAAATGGGGCAGGTGCTAGTGCTAACACTAAGTTAGTCCCTTCCATGTACTTACGTTTGGCAGAAGTGATATTAAAAGATAACCAATAAAAGTTACAGAATGTCACAGGTGAAAAGAAAACTTGTGCACTGTTGCTGAATTATTGCTGTTTCTTCCAGAAACATCTCAAAGTCACCATTCTTGTATTCAGTTTCCTTGAGCATTCATTCCTTGTGCTGGCCTAAAGAGGTTTAGACAGCTGTCTGGTAACTACTAGTAAGACATCCTTTGCTGTAAAGTCCATTTGAGACTGAACTGACATTTAAGCAGAAATGCAGTTACAGCTGGTTACAGTCTTATCTTCTGAACTTTTAGGATCTGAATTCTAAAAAGAAATGGCCACAATCTGTGCGTAATTGTGCATGTTTCCTTAGAACACTTAAATAGACAGAAAAATATCAAGACTGCATGGACAATCACCTAAAAATTGCTGCTTAAATATCTAATTCAAAATTTGAACACACAACAATAACCATGCACAAACTGTAGTCCCTGCCAACAGCTGGAGGGGTACTTCTCTGTAATTAGGAAAGAACTAAGTAAAAAGCAAACTTTAAAACTGTGCTTAAGCATTTTCTTTTTTTTTTCTTCTTTACAATGCATGAAGAAAATACTGTTATTTAAGATTCTTGTCCTGCTTAGTCGAAAGAAAAACTTCCAGCAATATACGACATTCTAATTTTTGCTTGGAGAAGCACCAAGAGATGTAAGGCTTGTTTATTACAAGCATCTTACTTGAAGGGGAGAACACACTCATTGTTTGACAATGACTTTTCATTCAAAATGGTGCTGAACAATTGCACTGAAATAGGCATGAACAGGAACATAGATCTTTTTCAACATATCAGAAGCAGAGGAGCAGGAATATGGAGACTGCTTAGTGAGTCTGTAAGGCCAGAGGATGATCAAGGTATAAAAGAAAGAGGCAAGGAGATAAGGTTGTTGCAGGAATGGTAAATTAATTCATTGCCTCACTGCTCACTACAGACATGTTAGGAAAGGTCCTACATCAAAGCTGTTCTTTATAGCAGACAAACCTGAGGAACTGTGTCAAATTGAAATGTCAGTAGAAAAGATTACAGAAGTCATCTGTAAAATGGTAGCAAATTGTCAGGAGCAGGTGGTATTCACCTGAGAGCTCCCGGGGAACTGAAGTATAGCTGAAATGAGCCCCTCTAACACCAGAGAGGAAGACTGTAGAAAATACGGCAATTGTGAAAAAAGACAAAGGACTGTACAACTTGTCAAAGTGTGGCGTATCAATCGAGTTAGAACTTTTAAGGGCAAATACAATGAAAATACAATAAGGAATAGTAATAATAGCAACATGGGTAAATACAGTGGAGTAAGAAGGAAGGAATCTTGTAGAATGAAATTAGAACTCTTACCAGAATTTTGGCAGGGACAGTGAGGATAAGGCTATCTGACTGCTACGGTATGTTTGTATCCCCACAAAAGCTTTTGATGATGGCTTTCTTAAAGGACTTCTAAACAAATTAAGCTGTCACAAGGCAAAAGATCCTCCAATTGTTTAATAACTGATCAAATTGTAAGGAAAAGGACTATCAATAGTGGTGGGAGACCAAGAAAATCCCACATATTCAATACTGACTTGACAACGCATGCTGATGACACAAAAATACTCATCATAATAAAACTTACTGGGAAGAGGTGCAGAAAAATCTCATACTATGGACTAAGCAGCCAAAAAAGCAGGTGAAATTCAATATTGGTGAATGTGAAATAATATGCATTTGGCAAACAACCCTACCTGCACATCAGTCTTGAAATTAAATCAGAAAAAATGCTAGTGGACATACGTGCTGAAAGCACGAATGTAAGTTGGAAACAAGAAAAAAGGCACATAGATTATTAAGATTTACACTTAGATGAATACAGAATAATATATAAAATATTAGTATTTCACTAAATATCTCAATTAAGAACACCATATCTTGAATACTGGGTACAGTGCTGGTCTGCCTATCCCAAAAGATGACTGTAAGACCTGATAAAAGTACAGAGGAGCAGAAAAAAAGTCAGAAATATGGAAAAACTGAACAGATAATCACCTTGAGAAAGCCAGAAGCGAAAAGGGACCATGCAATAGTTCTCTAAAATCTTCTTGTGTCAAAGCAGTGTGGTCTAGGAAACTGTTATTTATTTCCCATACATATAGAATCAGTTAGGTTGGAAAAGACCTTTAAGATCATCAAGTCCAACTGTTAACCTAGTACTGCCAAGTCCCACTAAACCATGTGCCTAAGGAAAATAAAAAAGACAGAGAAATAAAACCCAAGAAAGACACGTGATGCAAATGAAAACAATTGCTCACCACCAACCGACCAATGCCCAGCCAGTCCCTGAGTAGCGGCCCCTGGACAACCTTTCCCCTAGTTTATCGTTGAGCATGATGTCATATGGTATGGAATATCCCTTTGGTCAGTTGAGGTCAGCTGTCCCAGCTGTGTCTCCTCCCAACTTTTTGTGCACCCCCAGCCTACTTGCTGGTGAGGTGGTGTGAGAAGCAGAAAAGACTTTGACTCTGTATTAAGCACTGCTCAGCAACATTAAAAACATCCCTGTATTACCAACACTGTTTTTAATACAAATCCAAAACACAGCCCCATACTTGCTACTATGAAGAAAATTAACTCTACCCCAGCCAAAGCCAGCACACCCTTCCCGTGAAGAAATTTTTCCTAATATCCAACCTAAACCTCCCCTGACACAACTTGAGGCTGTTTCCTCTCATCCTATCACTTGCTACTTGGGAAAAAGAGACTGACACCCACCTCGCTACAACCTCCTTTCAAGGTGGTTGTAGAGGTCTCCCCTCAGCCTCCTTTCACCAAGAAACAGAAAGCATCAAATGAAAATATCAGGTAGCAAACAGCCACCAAAGTTTAACATTCTCAGTTTAAGATCTCTTTATTTGCTAAAGCCTTTCACTCTGTTTCCCACAGCATTCTCCTGGAAAAACT